GTGAAAGGGATAATATTTTTAAATTTTTGATTAAACATTTTTCGAAACTCTTTTTTGATATTTTCAGAACTTTGAAAATAAAAGAGAAAGAAAAACATTTTTTTCAAAACAAGACAATCTCTCTAGAGTGGAACTTCGTAAATGACATGTGGCTCTCAAACACAAAGCTCATGCTTAAAATCAATGCTGAAGCAAGAAACGAGGAACAATGAGGGCATCTTTGAATATTCAACATCAAATGTTGGGGTATTTTTTAGATTTAACATCAAATGTTGAGGCATTTTTTGAGATTCAACATCGAATATTGGGGCATCTTTGGGAATTCAATATCCTGATGTGAATTATCAGATCTTCCGAATGTCTTTCCTCCACGTGCAGGAAATAGCAGACAAAAAAATGAGATTATATCCGATAATATGCATTTTAGAGCATCATTTTTTTCACATGCATAATTTTTGCAACTTTAGAGTCAAGTTTCAACTTCAAGATGAAAGATACTCAATTCAAAGCACATTCAGAAATTGATGGTGGTTGCTTAACTTCACAGCGAAGGGGCAACTGTCTGTCGACAAATAACTTTCCAATTTCATTCAGAGTCAATTTCAACTTTACAACGAAGGATATTGGACTTGAAGCGACATAATTTGCTCGAGAGTAGATTTCAACTTCACGACGAAGGATATCTAGCTCGAGCCAAACTTCACAATAAATGGGTCATCCACGGTTTCAACTTCATGACGAAGGGAATCGTGTCCACCCGTAACATACAATACTCCACGGTTTCAACTTCACGACGAAGGATATCCAAGTCAATGCTCAACTTCACGACGAAGGGCCATCTGCGATGTCAACTCCACGACGGAGGATATTGTACCCACACATCCACGATTTCAACTCCACGACGGAGGATATCGTGTCATTTGAGGATCAACTTCACGACGAACGGGTTTCCCAATTTCAGAGCCAATTTCAACTTCACAGCGAAGAATATTGGACTCGAGACAACACAAGTTCAAGTTCACAACGAAGGGACGACTGGTTGTCAACAAACAATTTCCCAGTTTCAAAACCAATTTCAACTTCACAGCAAAGGATATTAGACTCGAGACAACACAAGTTCAACATCACATCGAAGGGACGACTGGTTGTCAACAAACAATTTCCCAGTTCCAGAGCCAATTTTAACTTCACGTCGGAGGATATTGGTCTCAAAACAATACAACTTACTTGGATTTCAACTTCACGACAAAGGATATCCAATTCCAAGGCTCTACTTCACAACGAATGGGCCATCCACGGTTTCAACTTCACGACGAAGTGAATCGTGCTCACCATTGTCTCTCTTGAGACATGTTCCAAATTTTGTCTATCTCGAGACAATTTCCCTTGAAACAAAATCTTTGAATATCTTTTTCTTGAAACAAATTTCGTCTCCCTTAAGACATTTTCTTTTAGAACTAAGTTTTGTCCCTCTTGAGATAGTTTCTCTTGAAACATAAACATTGAAAACATTTCCCTTGAAATGAATTTTGTCTCTCTTGAGATAGTTTCCCTTGAGACAGTTTCTCTTGAAGCATATTTTGTCTCCCTTGAGACAATTTCTCTTGAAGCATAAATTTTGAAAACGTTTCCTTGAAACACAAAATATTTGAATCAATTCCCCTTGAAACAAGTTTTGAGACAGTTTCCCTTGAAACTTCAATCTTTGAATACAATTTCTCTTGAAACACAAAAAAAACCTTTGAAATTATTTCTCTTGAAACACAAAAAAAAATCTTTGAAGATGTTTCTCTTAAAACACCAAACCCTCAAGTTCGATTACATTCAGCTTTGAGGACACATCATTTACAACATAACTCAAGGCTAGAAGGGTTATCTGTCAACCAAAGACCTTCGAGTTCGACTACGCTCAGCACCAAGGCACATCATTTACATCATAGCTCAAGGAAAGAATGGCTATCTGTCAATAAAATTATCCAGTTTGATTCCATTCAGCTCGATGACACCTCAATCACACTACTGTCCGGCTACAATCGAGGTTTTCAAGCCGAGAAGAAGATATGGGTTAGCCGTGTCTTAGTAGCAAGAAGCCTTTTTCCGTCAGCATAGCTTAAGTCGAGAAAAGCTATCTGTCAACGAAGACTTTTCGAGTTCGGTTTCATTCAGCTTGAGGGCATATCAACCACATTGTGGAGTCAAGAGATTACTTTCCAGTCGAATTTTTAGCCAAGGTCTTTAAACCGAGAAGAATACCAAAGTGGACTACAACGAGAAGCCACATTCTGATTCAAATCATTTCAAGATGGACTCGACTTCGCGACGGAGGAGCCATCCGCAATTTAATTCGACAGAGAGTTATTCTTCAACTCCACTGAACGAAAATTTGTGTCTTTTTATCTTTGTCCTACTTTTCGTTCCACGAAAAAAGACAAAGAGGGGCAGCTGTAGACACCCATTTTCTTAAAAGATAGAACTAGCAAGAGTTCCTCTCCTATGAGGACTCTTCCACCACTATATCTTTTAAAGCAACAACCACACCAACAAACGTGCAACAACCGAGCAAGGAGTCTAGTCGCATTAGGATTCTATTGTTAATAGGATTCTAAAAATAGTTAGTTTTTTTATACTATAAATACATGTAATCCTCCCCAGTTGTAACATACGATTTACATACAAAGTACAGAGGAAAGCACGAAAAATACAAAGACAAAGCTGTTGTAAACGATTCGAAAAGGAAATAAAAGGTAGCATATTTTTTACTTTTGATTCGGTCTCTTACATTTACGTTTTAATTATTATTATTTTATTTATTTAACTTTATTTATACACACATTTCCCTTGTTACTCATTTTATTTAATTGTTTTGTTATTTTTTTTCTTTTTTTTTCATGTAATATTTTTTTACATTTTATGCATTTTCTTTTTTACCTTGGTATATATTTTTATTTTTTTAGATTATATATATATATATATATTATTTTTTTATTATTAGTTTTATTAATTTATATATATATATATATTCACTATTTTTTTATTTTTTATTTTATATATATATATATATAAATATATTATTTTTACTTTTTTTATTATTACTTTATTTGTTTGTTTTATTTATATATTTTTTCTTCTTTTTCTTTATTTTTTTTTATTTTTTTTATATTTACTTTACTAACTATTTTATCTTTGCTTTCTTTTTCTTATCTTTTATTTAATTTATTTTTTCTTCATTTTAATTTAATTATTTATTTCTTACATTTTTATCTAACATGATTTTTTGACCTTCTTAAGACCACACCTTTAAAACTATCTAAGGTAAGTAATTGTGATCGTATTTTTACCTTTTAATTTTAAATTACAATTTTCTTAATTTAAGATAACCTGTAAATTAATTGGTACCGAAAGGGCGGTTCAATGGTGCTAATCCTTCCTTGATAGTAACCGACTCCCGAACCCGACACATTTCTAGTAAAAACGCAGATCATGTAAGATGGTGTCCGGCCCACCTAAATTTGTTTTAAAGTGGTCGGTGGCGACTCCCAATCCAATTATTTCAAGTTGAAGCCCAATTCGGGGCCCAACCGAAAGACGGTTACGAAAATTTCATTTAAAAAAAAGTTATTTATTTTTTTACTTCTATTTTTAATAATCATATCTAAATTATCCATACAATAGGTGTATAATGTTTAATTTAATAAACTCATTTTATATATGTTATATGTCAAATCTAAGTTGGCATTTAATATTCAAGCCGATAGTTGGAACGATAAAAATACTTAATGAAAATATTGATATTTAAGGATTCAATTCAAGTATTTTAAAGTTTAAAGATTAATTAAGCATTTAAATCGTAGTTTGAAAAACGTTTGATGCAACTAACTTATTTATTCCTAACATAAAACACAAAGCTTTCAATTTATTTAATTACATTATATTTTATTATTATAATAGTAAATTTAGCTATCAATATTTATTTATTTTTTAATTTAATTTTTAGTTAAATTTCACCATCAATATTTCTTTATTTCTAGTCAAATTAGTGTGTTTTTAGCAGAACTAGTGATTGGGCCGTTAAATTTAACTCTTCTGGGTTTCTGTATTGAGGGTCTCCACAGGGCTCTCAACTACGAGTTTATGCCGAATGGACCGGTTGCAATATCTAAAGGGTTGGAATATTTGTATATGATTAGGGATGGATCGAGGGAGTGAGTAAAGATAACCGCCACTCTTAAAAATTTTAAATTAAAATATATTTTAGATATTTTTAATTGATATTTTGTTTTCGTCTCTTTAGATTCATGTAAGTTCGTATTCTTCTTAAATTTTAGAAATTCGCATTTTTTAGTATAAAATTATTGATTCATCCCTAAATTTGTGATTATAACTTGCGTACCCTTCTCATTAACACCTTCAACGGCACCGGGATCAAACTATTATCATGGTTGGAATATTTTATCTAGTTATATAAGAATTGACGTTTTAAAAATAAATTTGTTTTGATGTAATTCACAAAATAGACGTCGATTAAGATTATCATAATTCTTTAGAATTTTATACACTCAAAATCGAAAGTAACTGATGGCACAGGTCTTCTCGAAATAATGATAGAAAAACTTTGAGAAAGTTGGAATATACGAGAGAATTCCTTGAGAGAAATGTATAGAGAGGATTGTGAGTTGTGACTTTGATGATTTGAAACTTTTTTATTTAAGTCGGGAGAAGAGAACGAAAGCGACAAAAAAGAATTCAACTAAATTCAATTAATGAGTTATCTTTAATCATTATTCACCAGTTGATTTAACAATCACGACATAATTACGATAACTCTATGCTGGCTATCAAACTTCCCGGGCGCGTATAATCTTTTTACAGTTATTATATTCTTGTTCTTGACCTCGGTTTTTTTTATTGTGATAGGAGTAGAATTATTAGTGCAGAAATGAAAGCTCGCATTGTTGGTAATTGTTAAGAGCACGCATAGGAATGTTATATAAAAACAACGTAAAAATATATACTTGGACAATTCTCACAATTCCATACAGTGTTTTAGGATTAAAACGCAATATTTAAGTAGTATATAAATCTTGTAATGCGATCCATCATCAAATCTGAATTGTATTAAACTGATCGCATCTGCGCCTTACGTCCCCATCGTTATTTTCCTTCACCATGAAAAGGCTCAATTTAAGCATTGAACGACCAAACATGTCGAAAAACTCCGTCTGGTTCGCGGCGTACCTGTCGACGAATGGTTTTGTCCTAGGGTCAGTCACCATCGCCTGATCGGAAGACAACAATCCTAACCCTCTTTGTAGATTCTTGTAATACATGTTATCGAACTTTCCCGGCGTGTACACGTCGTTGAAAGCCGACATCGCCGGATCTTTCGTATAATTATGGCAGAGTTTCCTCAACCCTTGTGCGTACGTAGGGTTATAGGCCGGATCGACCTCGGATGTCTTGCTGAAGTGGAATATCCGGTTGGCGAACTCTTTACAATGGGAGAAACCTATGGTGTGTGCGCCGACGAGAGCGACCATTTCTTCGACGGAGAAACCTTTGGAAGCGAAGAGAGCGAGCAGATCGTTCATCGGAGTTAAAGCTTTCGGAAGGGATTTATCGACATTCACAGGACTAGATTCCCTGCTGTCTTTTCTCCCCAAGGGAACTTCATAGAACGGACCACCGACCATCACAACGAGGTCTCTAGCCGAAACGGCGAGAATGTCGGAGCAGGAGACAATGCCGGGACATTCGAGCTCGAGAGCGGTCTTGACACGAGTGATGAGATCGAAACCGTCCCCGGCAACCGACATGTTGCTGTCGGCATCGAGTTCGGATTTGTTGAACGCGGTGGAGGCAATGAGCAACGAGGCATCACAGCCGTTAACGAAACAGTCGTGGAAGAAAAGACGGAGGGTGGCGGCCGCCGTCGTGGGGTTACTGAGTTGCTTCCCAGATAAGACCGTTTGCAGTACGTCGTGAAACTTGGGGCATGTTTTGCTGTAGTAATCGGGAGTTAGTACAGATTCTGTCGATGGGAGGAGTGAAAGGAAAGAAAATAACGTGAAAACGAAGACGGTATTAGGAAAGGCCATATTTGCTTTGAGAAATATGAAATAATGGCAAGGAAATGAAGACGATGATCAACTTCTTTTAGAGATGATGATGATGGGGAAGAAGAGGAAATGAATTGAGGAAGAGAGAATTTGATGGAGAAATTTATGTGTTATGCTTCATGTTTTTGTGGAGATGGGAAAGATAAAGTATTATGTATATAATCAATGGTTTTTAGACTAACGTAAGACCGATGAATGGTCACCGGGGAACCTAGGACACCGAATTTGTCTCCCCAACGCCAATCCAAGCCAACAAATTAACAATTTGTGGTTAGCTCAATAAAATCGTATACCTTATTAGGACACCCATGAAATAAAAAATAATAATATTAGTTTATGGTATATATGTAGGATTCATTCATGTAACTTTTAATAATGCATTTTTAAGATTCGATCCATTTTTTTTCTATTAGGAGTATAGTATTTATTATCATTATTCTCAACATGTGTTAATAAAATGTTCATGAAAATTCAACCTGTATCAATTTTTTTTAATGTTACGCGTCGGTCTTTCTTAATATTTGATTTATTAATTACAATAGCTTATATTTAGAGTTAGATCTAGTCGTATTTCATTTTAAATTTTAGAAATAAATTAAGAATTTAGAGGGTGGTTTAGTAATTTAGAAAAACTAAACCATTAGAAAAATGAACAAGCCTTTTGCTTTCTCCTTTTGTGTCAATGTGCAGTGTGCTTAACCATTTCCAGATCCTATCAGAAACAAAAATTGAACAGCAGAAACATGCTAGCCCAGGTGGTGAAAGGACGACAACATGGATGCTTCTTCGTTATCAAATGATTGAGAGTACTTAGAACAAATATTACTTTGTAATCACCGTTAACATAATTTAAAAAATGTTAAAAAAGGTCTTCAGGATGGGCTTATCGACCCTAATCAATATGCCTTATATATATTACGTATAACAATAGTTCAATCAACCAATTGAAGAGTTATCTTCACAAAACTTAAAACTGTAACCATAGCTTCTTGCATATAGATAAACGAATCAAGTTTATACTAAGTTTCTAAATCACATAACACGTTTTTTTATTAGTATGGGGTGATAATATATATTCGAAATACTCTTAACCATATGATAAAAAACATTTAAACACTCCTATAAACGTTGTGCTCGAACTTAGAATCTCTAAGAATAACAACCATCACTTTAATCACTAAAGAGTAAAGTCCTTTGATTGGTGCTCACACAACGCTTTTCCAGTGTGAACATCAGCACAAGAAATGTCTATTAATCCATTTCTTTATGGGTTAATTTTAGTGTCGCAAGAAATGTCTTTGATAGTGAACGAGTCAAACTTGATGATTCACTGAGTCAAGCCAGAGTAACCTTACCTAAGAGGAGCTTTTAGCTCAGCACAAGAGGTTCATAAGGCATATAAAAATTTGATTTTCTTTACTCCTCAACATCTTCTGTTTTCTGACCTGTAAGATTCATTCTGTTGAATTTCTTGACTCCTGCTCTAATCTCTCTCATTTCATTGCATTTCACCTTTACTTATGTGAATAGGGTACTGAGTCAGGTGTTGACTCGTATTTTGGTCTTTGCACACAAAAGCTTAGGCATTGGGTTGACTTAGGTACCTTGATGATTTTTATATTGTAATTAGAATATATTGTCATGGGAGAAAAAAGAAAAGAAGTAGAAGAAGATGGTTATGTGCAACTTCTTCTCTTTCATTTTATTGGAACTTCAACATACTTCCTTAATTAGCATGCTTCAAAATCCTTGGAAACGGAATCTTTCAACAAACCCTAGAAAAAAATAGGCTTTCAATCCATTTACCTTGTAATCCATGTTGGCGTCCTGCCATTCTTGCACCATTTGTGATACTTGTAATATTGTATAGCATGTAGCACTTAACTGCATTTTTGACAGAATACAACACAATTTATCCCAAAAAAGAAAAAACGAGCCAACGTAGATTATGGCAACTGCAAGTCTCCGATGGATCAACTACGCTTGGTGTGCTATCCGACAGGTAACGTGATCACTGAGTAAGTCTAAACTAGGCGTAGGGGCCTTTGCCTCTATAATGTGGGAAAAAAGAATTGCAGTAGCTCACCATGCTTCCACGATAAAGTTTTTTTTTTAATTAATCCGCGATAAAGTTGGATGTGAAGGAGTCAACTGCTTATGATGTATGTCTATGGCTTAAAGCAGGAAGGAGTTGAATCAAATCATTTAGTCCCTACATTTTGGATAGTTCTTCTTGGCCTTTGTGAGGGTCTCCGACTAAGTTCGCATCATTATTTGTGGAGGAAAACTTAATGTCATTCTGATATTTGTGCGGGTCAACAGCTTATGATGTATGTATAGAGATACATTGCTAATAAGATACATCGAAATATACTTTTACATAAATTCTCATAATTAAGAAAATATTAAAACTTTTAAAGACTTTTCCATGATTAATCCTTCATAAAAGTGTAGTTTTAATTATAATACAATTATATTTTGATGCAAATCTAAGCTTGAGATCGGAGTATCTATGCATAAATTCCAAATGTTTGAAGCATTGCTTAATCTATGTAAGAAATGCCTTCATATGAGTATGAAAGACGGAATTATTGTCTGTAATTTGATCGAAAAATCTCCAACAAAAAATCTTATAGTTGACATGGAAAGACGAACAAGAAGATTTGGCATGAATGTTGATAATAAGACATTTTCGAACAAAATGGCTAGAAAGCAGTTAAAGTAGGCTTCTGTGAGAAACCTGCACTTCCCGAATTATTTTCAGTCTTTGTGCGTACGTTTCAATCTGTTTTTACAGCCATTGCTATTGTTTCGAAGCAGGGAGTGAATCAATAAGGAAATATTTGAAGTGCTTGTATAGCTCTTTAGACTTCTCTATATTGATCGCATGCCCTGCATTCTTTACCATCATTAGTTCGGCAATGGAATTTGACGATTAATGATTTTTAGTTTAGTTTTAAAGCAAAATTAAAATTTTATATCAATCACAACTTTTAATAAAAATAAATAAATAAATAATTTAAGTATGATTGTATTAGAATAAAATTTAATTTTTATAATAAATTAATTGGAGAGAAATCTTTAAAATTTTAAATATTTATTCAATAAGAATAATTTATTTAATAGTGCATTTTGGTGTGCTTTATTCATTCTAAACTTATATATATTGCAAAATGAGGTATACACGCACATTAATATCATCCTTAATTGACACATAAGTATAAAAATATATTAAATATATTTTAAAAATATATACTTCTGCACAATCGAGTATTAATTAATTGATAAGAATCATAAATTTTTTTAAAACACGTAGAATTAATTTATTTAAATATTTATTTTCTTTTTAATTTAGGAATTAGATGATAGATTCATGATATCATGAATAAAAACATAAAGTGAGATTCATCTCTATAATAAATTTTTATAATGCTCAATTCAAATTGATTGATCTAATACGATTATTAAAAATTTCTAAATATACAATTTTTTTTATTAAATTTAATATAATGCATAAATAATGAAGTCTAAGAAAAATCCAACCAATAGAATATTTTTATTACCTTCCAAAAATGAAATCCCCGTTTTGCCCAGCAAACTCTTCCCCGCCAACCAACCAAACCCCGAGAAAAAAAGAAATAGACAAAATAAATAAATAAACAAATAAAACCTCATATATTTATATCTCAAAGTAACTAATGGAATCGAACTACCAAAAACTGCGATCTAAAACCCATTTTCTCTTCCTTTCCTCTCCTCCTTCCTATTCCACGATAACCACTACGCACAAGCACTCGCGCACCCGATTGTTTAACAACACCGTCGTCGCTTAGTACAAAATCAACGGCGTTTATGGAGAGAGAATGAGGCATGATCAACGGCCACGGTTGCCGCCATCCATAGTATAGTCATCAATACCACTTTCGATATGTCGGTGTCCTGTTCCGATCGTTTCACCGACTTACTATGCGGTGAGGATTCAGACGAGGTATTCTCCGTCGATTCGTCGGAGCTCGAATCTCCGGCGTCTTGCATAGAGGAATCCTCCATTGCCTGCTTTATCGAACACGAACGGAACTTCGTTCCCGGATGCGATTACTTGGCTCGGTTTCAGTCTCAGTCTCTCGACGCATCGGCCCGGGAAGAAGCAGTTGCATGGATTCTGAAGGTGAACTGACTAAAACTGTACCTCAGTACTGTCACCACTCACCATATCTGTTCATTCAACATTACGAAAAGAAATACACCTAGCGCAATTTAGCAAAATTTTCACGGTTTCGCTAAAAAGCGCTTTATAGGTTAGGCTTTCAAAACCGAAGTAAAGAGATCTAATAACAGCCGTTCGATGGACGGAGATGAATCATTGATTGGCGGCTCCAACTTTGCAACTTTTCCCATTTCAACTTTTTTTCATCAATGAAAATGGTCTTTTTGTTTGTTTCCAGGTACAAGCATTCTATAATTTCGGGCCTTTGACGGCGTATCTTTCCGTTAACTACCTAGATCGATTTTGGTATTCTCGACGCTTGCCGGTGAGCCTTTTTTTCCGTCACTGATTAATAAAACTTAAATTAAGAATTATTATCTGGATAATGATAATTTGAGTGATTAAAATTTTGACTCTTCGGTGCAGTTATGTTTCACTTTTCAACGTCGATAAAACACTTGAAAAAGACTTGAGTATCAATAAGTGATTAAGAAGAGGTAGACTTTTTTGTTTGTTTGTTTATTGAATCTAACAGGGGCTTGCCTTTGCATTTACTACAGGAGACTTTTACTGAAGCGTAATTATTGACCTTTTTTAAAGACTTTTGTAGTGCTATTTTTCTTTGTGATTGCATGTGTATGTATACATACTTTCATTAATGTTATACTGGTAATATAATAATATTATTCTTGTTTCTTTGATCGGTAGTTGGTCTATGCATTGTCAAATGAACTCAGTAAATGTGCATATAATTCACCCTAGATGTTCATTATTGTTT